GCTTAGGTGATAAGTTTATTCAGATGGGATATCTGTAATCGCTCAGAAGTGACCTTCAAGGGGGAAGGCATGTGCTCCCTTTCACTTCCCTCCTGCCTGCTGGTAGACGGTCTGCTGGAGTCTGGCAGCTACCGTGGCCCATGCCCTGGGGTCCTCTCCTTGAAGATGGTGATTTGTCAAAATAGAATGGAATCTCCTCTAGAGTCACCATACCACCCCTGGAACTCTACATGCAGGCATAATGAAAGATACTTCTACCTTGTTTAAGTTATAAGTATCATTATTATTATTTTTGGCACACAGTTACCCCAATATCAGCCAACACAGGGGTTCTATAAATGATCAAAGTTCACAGAGAGGAAAACAACATTCGGCATTAGAAAGATGTAGCTAACCAGCTGAAAAGGTCACTTGAACTTATTAGAAAGAATCAGGGCCTCATTTCATGTTGAAGCTGCTCAGAGCACCATTTTCCGCTGGGATTACTTTAGAATGAGGATATTTCCTAATGGGACCCCAACAACTGAGGATTTTGGAAGAAACCCAAGACGGAGACTTGCTCTCTTTTCCACTGCAATTCCACCTCATGCATACTTCTTTTTCAAAATATTCTCTTGGATCACACCACTCCTGCCTTCTCATCAGTTTACTTCAGTTGGGTAGAAGAGCAAGGCTCAGAGAGTCAAAGGCCAAAGGTCATTCTGTCCTCAGGTCCTGCTGGGGCTGAGCCTGCCGGCAGGTGGGGAATGATGGAACTTGGTGAACTGACTAAGAAAACATTCAGGAAGGGGTGAGTGGCAAAAAGCTGACTCTGGAATGGGAGGCTTCTTCTGCTGACCCTTAAAAACATTCTAAGGTTACATTTGAAGTCTTACATACATTTTATTTGTTTAACTCCTCCATCTGGGTATATAGCTGCTATCTTTTAAAGTTTTGGATAAAGACCATGCTAATGATGTTAAAAGTTAGCAACCAAGAATTATATAAAGTTTTAGTTTTGCAAGGTGCACAAATCTAAATGCAGTCATCTCATCACTGAAAGACCATGCAGTAAACCACACCCAAGATGCAGTTACCTTTGACTCTGGTGAATTTATCTCCTGTTGATAAGAGTATTTAGGGAGGAGAGAAGGTGAGAAGGACGGGGTAGGCTGAGAGAGTGTAGAGATCAGGTCAGAGACAGAGGCCAAGGGTGAGTGAGAGGGAGGGGAGGAAAGCAGACAGCTGGACAAAGGCGTAGACGTTGGACCTCCAGAAGAAAATGAAGGTGGCTTAAACATTGAGGAAAGACAAGATAGGATTATGCTGGTGTTGGGATGAGGTGACATGCCCTTAGAGAATATCCCCTATTTAACATTTAAAGTTACTGAATACTATGTATGACGAGTTCTTGCTTTAAAAGGACTCACATTTTCTTTTGAATTGGATTCAAGATTCCCAGTGAATATAATCAGTTCAATTTTTTTCTTTTTTTCTGACATGGGTGGCTAGAAACAAGGACACCCATAATCTACACTTTCTTAATATATTTATATGATGGCTCCTACATGAAGAGATAAAGTCTCTAAAACTTTGCAATGACTCTTTGTAACTTGCTTGTGGAGTGGACCACAATAGAAACAGTTACAAAGCTTGGGAAGTTGTGGGACTTGAACCTGGAATTGAAGTACACTCTGTGTAGACATTTCTTCATCTCTGAAGTGTGGATAATAACACAAAGCTGCTTACTCAGTTCTAAAAAAGCAGAGATGTAGACTTCTTAGAGTACTGTACAAGTACTAGCCATCATGACTAACGCTGGAAATATGACTATATAAATTACAAAGACTATTTAAATATGAGTTTATAGTCATAAATACATACCATGATTTCATATTATCGCCTATATTTACAGCATATTAAAACTCGGCATTTCCATTCAACCCACCATCCTGACGTACAGAGTGCTTGCGTATGTTTCTCATAAGGAAGCTTCTGAGGTAAATGCCAAAATTAATGTCTGTTAACACAATTAGCTGCACTAGCTAGTGATAGCAAGACTGGTTAGCTCATCTGAAATTAGTCTAAATAAAAATACCTCATCACTGTTTTTTGTGGCCTTGCTGTCTTCCTTGGGGGTCCTAGGGTCTGTGGGGGTGGCTACCAGATATTTTAAGCCATCAGGTTTCTCTTCCTCTTCCTCTTCTTCAATATGCAGATTTGTGATCACCTCTGTGATGTCCTGGTCACACCACATGACATCTGGTTGCTGTGATCCTGGCCCTCTTCGGCTGCCTGACATAACCCCCTCATGGACTTCCTCATCTTCCTCTCCAATGACGGGGAGGGTTTGGGATAAGGGACCCACATGAGTGTGTGCAGAGACCACGAACTTATCGCCTAGGACTTCAGATGCTTTTCCAGGGTTTGCAAAGCCCTTTCTCATTTTTGTCAAATCTGCAAACTTATCTGGGGTTGCTCTGCTGGGATCCTGACTTGGTGTCACCGCAGAAGACTGGGCTGCAGCTGGGGTCTCCCTGGAGCAGGGCAAAGGTAGCAGAGAGGAAGGTGATCTGCCAGGTTCAGGTGCTGGAGGTAACACGCAGGGCTCCTCCTTAATTTCCAGTGTGATCTCCTCTAAGATAACTGATTTGGCTTGGTCCTCTGGTACAGTTAGAGCACCAAGCGTCTCTAATTCATCCAAGAAGTTGTCCAGAAAAGAAGATAGTGTTGGGGCCAAAGCGTTTGCTGGAGGACTCCTGGCTGCCAGGGATAGCCACCCCCGGGACACTCCCTGGAGAGCTCTTTTATCTGGGCCTGGTGAAGCTTTGTGCATGGGAGGAGAGGGTGATGCACCAGAAGCCAACTTACAAATGTCAGGGATTATGAAATAAAAACAAACAAGACAAACAAACCAAGAAAATAATAATAATGCATCAAAACAGAAAGAGAAATGCAGCAAAGATTTGATAGTGAAAATTAAGAAATATTTTATGTTCTGGCTAGATTGGAATACTTTGCTGAGTCTAAATACAGAAGGTCATTAGCACATTAAATCAGATCATTATAGAAAAATCAAGCTACGGATATTTGGAAAAGGTCTTGAATATCAAATGACAAGATAAAGCTGTCATAGAGGTTATATGGACAGGTAACAGCACCTTAAGTGGCTTAATTAATAGACTACCTCTTTTAAGCCAGGTTTCCAGGTACTGAGTTAGTAGGACAAATAATGAAATAATGTAATGGTAGAGTGAAATCCAATAAATACATCTTTCTTATCCTCTGAATGTATTTAATACTTTTTTCCCCTGCAGCAGTACAAAATCTATGAATGTCTATCATTTTCTAACTTAAAGTGTGTAATTGTGATTATAAGTTGTAAGCTATTTTTACACAAATGATGTGAACAAATTCTGAGAAACACTTTTCAAGAACAGGAGTCCAAGATCAGAATGAAACTGAACTTACATAACAATGAATCAGAGTTCAAAGAAAATCCAAAATAAATGTTAACACAGAAAAGAAGCTTATGATGTTAATGGAAATAAACTTGTCATTTTATGTAAACCTGAGTGGAGGTTTAGTTTTTGAAATTCAATTTTCTCAAGTAAAACATACATATCTATGCACCTTCATATAGTTGCTATATTTTAATCAGACAAAACAGACTTTTAATATAAATTTAATAAAAATAGTTCTAGAAGTATAGTTAAAATCAGTAACATTTTAATATTTGTCTATTGTTGCTGGATTAGAAACAGTGCTGCATATATTACATATACATATATATTGCAACTGGTTTTTACTTTTTAATGCAGAAATACTAGCAATATGTAAGATATATTTGAATCTCTCCTAAATAAAAAGCATCTTAAAAAAGTGATTTTATAGTATCAAAGAGTGATTCATAAATCACTTGATTTCCTTCCTTTATTTGCAAATATAAATTTGATGATAGGATTTATCTCATAGTATATTTTGGATGTCATCATTCAGAAGTGCCTTATAGTTCTTTTTTCTGCAAATAATTCTGTTCAACACTACTAAGAAGTTTCCTTCATTAAGTTACTTACATCACAGCATAAATTACCAGTAAGGTAATAATGTTTTAAATGTTGGGAAGTATTTACAACATTTGAATGCAATTCTTCAATAATTTAAAGCTTTGTACTTGGAAGTTAATGAAAAGGAGAAAAAAATCCCTAAGTACTAGCCATAAAAAGAACACAATACATTACAGTTCAACAGAAAACTAAGGAAAATTCACATTGTGAGAAAAGAAAGTAGGATACCAGCATTTTCTAACTAACCAGTCAGGAAATAAAGTCTGTTTTATACTACAAGATGGGAGAAATAACAACCTTTAGCTACTAGCTCAAGTGAGGCAGGTTCATAATTGTGCTAACACTAATGCAATACACCTGAGGGCTTCTACCAATCTATAACATTATCAGTTAAACTAATAAACAAAAATGACTTATTAATTGCAATTAAAAATTTCTACTTTATCTTTCTTTCTATATAAAAACATCATAAAGCTTTCAGTGAATTTTGTCAATTATATATAGTTGAGATAAACCATATGGGGCATCCATCCATCCATCCATCCATCCATCCATCCATCCATCCATCCATCCATCCCATTTGAAATATACATTTTCAAATTTTTTTTCAGAAAAAAGCCAGGCTTTAGAAAAATGTTTGTTTCAGAAAGCACATACACACACACACACACACATCAAATAGGGTTTTATGATACTAATGTTTTCTTTTCCTCTTTTAATTGAAAATTAAGTTTTCAAAATTAAGCATTATAGCTTTATACCAAGACTTATTAAGGAAAATTAAATTATATTAACTTGATATGGCATACACAAGTTAATGACATGCTTAGAAACAGAGCTGCCAATCTTCTATAAAGTACATGTCATTTACAGTCTCATGACCTCAATTCATATATTCATCATCTTATTCCCAACTCCCAGAAAGGATACTAATATGCTAGAAGGTCTCCTTACCTTATTTGAACTTAGGCTGTGGATTCTGTCACTAGAATAGCTGTGGGGTATTGGGGGGTCAGGGTAATCTTCAGCACCTTTGGTTGCATTCTTGACGACTTCTACGTAGGAAACAGGGAAGATGCCTTGTCTGTTGGTTCCTGGAATTTTACCTTCATACCAGTTTTGATCAACTCTTTTAAGAAGAATAATTCTATCTCCCTGTAATGAATATTAGGGAAATGCATTATAAACAGAGACATGATAACATAAAAGATATAATCATCAATGTTTTCTAACAATAGTTGTCCATTTGGGAAAGCCCATACCTCTCTGTATTTTTTTTTACAGATTTATTTATTTATGCATACAAAGGCTGGGTTGCAGGCTGGGGGTAAGAGGAGTCACCAGAGACAGAGTGGGGGCAGAATAGGCAGATCTACTGAATACACTGTTGAGGGTAGCAGTGGGTGGGCCAGGAGATGTCTGCTGCACCAGGTGGGTCAGTTTCCTGGCAGGGGATTGAATTAGTGCTGCAGGGGCTTTGGAGAGCTTCATAGTGCTGTGTCTTAACCCCTGTACCACCAGGAGGGCCATTTCTCTCTCTCTCTCTTTTTTTTTTAAATCAGGAGAATGCAAGTAAAGTCCCAGAGCTTCCTTTCAAATTACAGACTATTGACATATATGCAATTTAATCATCCAGTCATTTTATCAGAATCTTCCCTCTAGATGTTTGGTTACTGAGAACAGGCTTAGCCTTGCTCATACTGCTACTGGTGATGTGACCCAGGAGTGTTATAAAAAGCAGAACAGCTGAACAAGCAATGTTTCAATGACAGCAAGAGCATCCTCTCGCTGGCAGACTCAAGAGAACGCCTTGAGTAGGAAAAGGTGAGAAAGGTGTACCAGCTCACTCTATGGTGTGTCTGACATGGATTGCAGAAGTAGGCCTCCAGAAGGCATGAAACTGAATGGCATCTTCTCTGCTTTCTTTAAAGCACATGTGCTAAATAGGATCAAAGAGTAAAGCCACAGGAGCTGAGGCAGAGACTATAGCTTAGATAATCCAGCTGTGGCTGGGCCACTGTCTGGCTCCTCTGCATCAAGACGGTGCCAGAAACATCTCCATTCCGGTCAGTGAATGGAACGGCTAACTTTTGCACCAAAAGAGCTTCCTATAACCACTTCCTGCTACCTGCAAGGATCAAGCCATGTCCACATTCCACAGTTCAAATTTGAACCTAAAAATTGGTGGCCCTCCCTGCTGGCGCAACAGGTTAAAGCACAGCATTATGAAGCTCTCACAGACACTGCAGCATGAGTTTGATTCTCAGCCGGGGTGTGTGTGTGTGTGTGTGTG